TTATGTTTTTGAAGGTGCACTGCGCCAAGACACTATTATTGCAGTGAAGCACACTAGGAGATATATCAAATCAAGAATTCATTTTTGACAGAAGTGGCAATTAGAGGAAGCATGGATCACTACAATTAATAATAGGGTTTTGTATTGCAAAACTATGCTTAGGGTACTATCCAATGATGTTGTTTCCTTCTAAAATAGTTATTGCACCCGTTAATCCAACATTTCTCCGCAGGTCCTAGTTACACTTTCTTGGAATATTTACTTTTAAGAAAAAATTGATAATCTTGTGTTGATATATACGTCTGAATACCAAATAATATTTTAATAAATTCCGAAACATTAATTTTAAAATACACATTGGGCATTGGACAATTAGTGCAATGCGCGTGTGATAACTATTTCATACTATATGTTCAACAATTATGCGCGTGTGATGAGGTTCGAACTTAAGACATTCTTTAAGAAAAATCAATAGGCTTACAACTTAACAAAGGGAAAATGACACTTTTTACTCCTGAGTTATATACTTATAGCACTTTTTCCCCCTCAATTATTTAGGTAAGCACATTAGTCCCCTCAATTATTCTAAAAGTGGTGCATTTTCCCCCTGATATATTAAATTGATATTTATACCCTTAAAGTAAACATTTTATTTATTTTACTACTCCAACAAATTATTGCGTATACGTAGGGATGACCATAGTTCGGTTTGAATTGAACCGGATACTAAAGCAATCGAATTAATAGTTTCCGGTTATAATTCAGATCTAGAACCCAATATTTAAATGTCAATTTATTAAAATTATGTATCAAAAAAATTGAATCTTGAACCATGAACCGGCGGTTCCGGATCCGATTCGCGATTTTGAACCGTCTTTATTTTAAAATTTTATTTTTTATTTTAAAATAGTCTAAATTCAACAATAAATGTATTTTATTTTTTCAGTTCGGAACATGAACCGCCCGTTCCGGTTCACGATTTTAATAAACTCTAAATATCGAATTTCGATTCTAAATTGTAATTGCAATATTTCGGTTTGGTTGCTATAGTGTTTGTTTGGTTTGAACCAAATTATGGTCATAATTTGTTGGAAAAAAAATAAATTAAATATTTAGTTTAAGGGTAAATATGTCCATTTAACATTTCAGGGGGAAAAACAGTCACTTCAATAATTTAGGGGGAAAATATGCTATAGGTATATAACTCAGGGGGAAAAAGTACCATTTTCCCACTTAACAATAATAAATAGTTAATAGAATATTTTGTTACTAAAGTTGGTTCGTTCTCATGGGCTCATTGGGGGATTGGTTCTCACCTCAAACTATATATATATATATATATATATATATATATATATATATATATATATATATATATATATATATATATATATATATATATATATACAAAATATATATAGGCTTCGAATCCGATGCACCCCCTTTGATAAATGAGGTCATGAGAACTCATGTTATTTATTGATTAATTTTCCATCAATGGTTCAGATAATTAGAGATTATTAAAAGAAGAACGGATATATATATTAACCAAAAGGATTAAACTGTAATTGTACTTATTGAACTATTTATGGCATTAATAGTAATGGAATCTTAAGCATTAAATTAGGGATATAATGTATGGTAATTGAAGGGATGGATCGTTAAATCTTCAGCATACACGTAGTAAATTTTAAACGCGTGAAAGGTACTGATAGGGCAGAAGGACGAGAGTCAGAAAACGCAGCACCATCATCAACCAAGAAACGCACTTCAGTAATGGCTGTACAAAGCACAGGTAGGTGCATTCCTTCATATTGGTGTGTGCGTAATACTTGTATTTGCGTTTTTTACTATTTTTGTTGTGGTGACGAACGACCTACGAAATAGTGGTATTTGTGAACCTCTGGAAACAGCAGTTACATGTAAGCGTGGTTGCATACCAGCTTCTGCAACCCTTCCGACTTTATTACGTCGTGTATATATAATGGGAGCTTAGGGGCCGAGTGCGTAGAGTAACAATAGTCAGAGCATTATAGATGATTAGGCAATATGTCGGTGCATATTCGTGTGTTCGCATGTGCGTAATACCAACATTTTCGTTCCTTTTTTTTTTTTTTTTTCGTTTATGCGGTAACGTAATTGCATATAAGCTTGTGCAACCCTGCCGGGTTTATTAGGGCGTGTATGTATAGAGGGAGCTTAGGGGCTGGGTGCGTGGAGTAACAAAATTCCTCTCATTATGGCTGAGTATGCACCAAACGGTGCGTAGTCATGTATTGGTCTGTGCATAGTACCAATAGGGCCGTTACTAATTTGTTAGTTGATGGGAAGAGCGGACTATCAATTAGGGCTATCTATGAACCTCAGGAAACAGCTGGTATGTGGTAGCGTGGATGCACATAAGCATATGCAACCCGTCCGGGTTTATGACATCATGTATATATAATGGGAGCTTAGGGGCCGGGTGCGTGTAGTAGCAATCGTCTGTGCATTATACTGATGTTATGCGGTGGGACAGTGGTTGTGTTTATTTTTTGGTTCTGTTAGTTTACGGGGGTGACACACGTGGATTTAAAACACCCCATGCGAGGGCGTTAGTTGAGGAGAATGGTTAGTAGGCAACAGCTGGTAAGTGGTAGCGTATCACTGGTGAGCTCATGAGGTTGGTGCACAGACAGACATTAGTATGTGTGTACATGTGTGCGTCGACTAATAACAGACTGTGCATTGTGGATGCGTATGAGTAGGGAATCATTTTCCGTATAAAATTTGTTGTTTGTTTGTTTAGACGAGCTAAATGTAGGGGTAAGTAAGTGCATGCAGGACTGATATCTGAAAAATGTGGAAGGACATGAATTCTGATTCCAACTTTTAATGTTTTTAGACTATTAGCAGGATGCGTAAACCAACATCAGTATGTGCATAGTAGTGTATATACGGTGTGTCATCGTTTTTTTTTTTTTTTTTTTTTTTGTTATTGTTTTCTGTGTTAGCTTTCTTCGACAACATAAGTAAATGAGATGTAGGGGAGAATGAAACGAATGTTTGACAAAGAGAAACACACGTGAATTTTGAACACGCCCACAATATTGATTTCCTGTATTGAACTTTATGAATATTTGGGTATTCGTTATTGATCGTAAGGATATTTACTTTGGAATCGAGCAATGACCAGAATTTTGTGACCAAATTAAAATGTTATGAAACTGTTATTGTATGGCAGGTGCACCAAAAATAGAAGAAGTTGTTGATGACCAAAACTGCGTAATGGATGTATCACAAAGTGGAACGAACACGTGGATCCCGGGGGGAACAACGCCTCATCAACCTCATCGGGCGCAACGTCCGAGCCATCCGCCTCTGGGGCTGGTTGTGCGACCTCAGGCGGAACTTTGGCAGCATTGGTCTGTGGCAAAGGTGCCACCACATCGACTTTAAAAACGGGCTCTTCCACAACCACGACCACCGGATCAATCGCACCATCAACTGCGAATGGCAATAGCAAATCACCGGAAACACACAAAAAAAAAAAAAAAAAAAAAAACCATTTCATTAAAATACAACTACACGACATCATTGAATTCATAGCAAAGACAAACACACCAATGAAATACCCCAGAACGCATCCACTCAGATGGAAAAAAAACACCCACGATGCACAAGCCCAAACCGCGAAACCAAAGACCAGTGAATACCAACTCCATGAGCAATTACCCATGCAAAAATACACAAACCCCAAAAATGATGACACCTACCTCCGAAATGTCACCCTAAAGGGGAAAAAAACAAAACAGCTAAGCATCCCCAAAATTGAATAGATTGTGTGAAACAATCATAAACAATACTACAAACAAAACACTCTAAAACTAAACAACCAACTAACTTGCACACTGTAATATATTACTACGCACAAACCACCACACCTAACTACGTAACCCCCGATAATAAAAACAAAACAAAAAAAAAAAAAAAAAAACACACGCACCGACACAATAACAGTGGCGCACCAACCTAAAAGAAAAAAAAAAACAAAAACAAAACAAGCAGTAGCAATTTCCAACAACACTTTACACCTAACTTGCACACGGTAACAAACACAAACGCACAAACCACCACCCGTAGCCGCGGTCCACCCCAAACTCCTAACAAATAATAAATAAATTAATAAGCACGCACCGACCCAATACTAGTTGCGCACCAACCGAAATGTAAAAAACCAAAAAAAAAAAAAAAAAAAACCTAGTGCCAATTAGCATCTACAATACACCCTAACCTGCACAAAGGTACATACTACTACGCACAAACCTCCACACCTAACTACGCAAGCCCAAAAAAACAATAAACACGCACACACTCAACACCAGTGGTGCACCAACATAACTGCAAAACCAACACAAAACCAGCAGTAGCAAATACCAACAACACTTTACCCTAACTTGCACAGGGTAACAACTAGAACGCAACAACCACCCCACCCAAAACCAGTAGCCCACCACCCTATTACAACTCCAGACACTAACACACAAACTATTGGACCATATGAATTTACCCAAGCCAAAAAAATCAAAGCCCAGACACCATTCACCTACTGTGGAATGACTTACATTAAAAAAAAAAAAAAAAAAAAAAAAAAAAAAAAACAGATACAGTAAGACAAAAATTGGTTCACAATGTCTAAAAAAAGCATACACAATAATGCAAAAAAAAAAAAAAAAAACAACCTTAACCCTTACTTTCTCCTTTTTCTTCAGATATTATCACTTGTAAACCACACAATCTGATATATTAACTTAACAAAAATCACATTCAAGCTCAAGATTCCACACTACAATAAAATAGCAACTTTCAACACAAATTCCAGGTCCAGGTAGATATCAAGGTGCAGGAAGAATTAAGCGAAGAATGTTTTTCATACCTTGATGAGGTGCATGAACTCGCTGCAGTGATTGTTAATAAGATCTTTTCTAGGGCCGCTAGGGTTCGCCAATTCCTCCATCACTCCTCTAGTCAGCTCCAAAGCAGTAATTATCCTCTGCAATTACAATCACCGACATGTTGCCGTACATTCTAACCCCCTTTTAACTTAGTCATTTTCAGTATGAAGGTTGTGCATTACCTTCTCAACATTTTGAAGCCGTTGTAATGATGTGTTCTGGCTTTGTGAATCCATCGTGCTCTGTAACAAGGACCAAACCAAAAATATAAGCAAAATTTGTAAGAATAATGCTTTCTTCCCCAAATTTGTCGAATCACCAACTATTATACCATACAAAAATTTCAGTAGTCATTGCATGGGTAACTCATTAACCTCAGCAACTCAAAAATCATATTTTAGTGAATAAATTTAGTGAATTTTACTGAGAAATTTTAAATAATATTAATAATTGGAAACTCTACCTCAGACGCATGTGAATTAGGGTTTCAGAATTACGAGGGATCAGTCATCAGTCATCAATGTCGGAGAACTATCCGCCGCCCCCAACCCAGAAATCGTACACCCCTCACAACCACATCCGCCGCCCCCAACCCCAAACCCAACCGAATGCACGACCACCACCCCGGTGAAAACAAACAAAAAAAAACTACCCAGACGAACAAGACAACAAACGAAATCCCACCCCAAACCCCCTACTGAACACTATCAAACCCACAAACCGCCGGAAAAAACCCACGAAACAAACAACAAAAAGAGGAAAAAAGGTATAAGAAATCGATTCAAAAAATACCTGAACTGGAAGCGGAAAATATACCACGAAGTCGCTTGGACTGCCTCCTGCTGGAACCAGCCATGAACACCGCCGGGAAAACATGAGAAGCGAATGGACGATGACCGGAATCGGAGAAGACGGATGATTCGAGAACTTGTGTGACAGAGTAGGGGAGAGAGACAACCTAAAATACCTATTATGACTGCCTTAAACCCAAAATAACCGGCGAAATAAGTGAGATGCAATATTAATGACAAATACAAAATACAAAAACACCCCTATCAATCTAATACTAAGCGCCCACGTGGTTTAAAATATCACATCATCAGCACTGTTAATATCTCAAAATCAACGATCAGGGAGTGTGCTCATGAGCTCGGCTGAATAGGGGGTGTGCACCAGATTCAATATATATATATATATATATATATATATATATATATATATATATATATATATATATATATATATATATATACACACATAGGTAAAAGTTCAGGTGTGAACTTCAGTTATCATGTGAACTTGTGCACTTATACTGGCTGTGCATTTGAGCCTATATAGGTATATAGGTAAAAGTTCAGGTGTGAACTTCAGTTATCATGTGAACTTGTGCACTTATACTGGCCGTGCATTTGAGCTGATCAATGGTCATGAATTAATGTGCACGTCGACCAGGTGCACCGCATCCCATCTAGTAATTTGTACACAAGGGGTATTTTGGTCTTCTACTTAAATTGTGTTACCATTGGTCAATTTGGGAGGTGTATCCGTGTGCGGGTGAAATTAGTTTTACCCCTTTTCCTTCACTCAGCGCCTCAGCCTTTGGGAGTGGTCTCCTCGCCGGACAGTTCGCAGCCCTTATCGTCGAACGACAGCCTCGCTATGGTGTCTGGTGCTCGCGATCGAGGGGAGAAACGGCGGCCTTCCTGGTCGTTACCTGGGGTTCGGGAGGTCCGTCTGGCGTTGTTACGACTGATAGGGATGGTGGACGACTAACGAAGCGGCGGGTCGCAACGGTAGAAGTGGCGGAAGTCACGGCTAGAAGACGATCGCAGACTGGTGGTCCATGGCCGTCCTCTTGTCGGCGCCGCTCAGCTCGTCTTGTTGGTAGGGTTTCTGTGTTTGTCTGTAGTTTTTTTTTTATTTATTTTTTATTTATTTATTTTATTTTAAATATTAGAGTGTTTATTTTTCAGTTTTGCATACTCTGTGTTTTCGGTGGGGGATGGGGGGGGGGGTAGGTAGGGCGGTGGTGGCAGTGCATTATACGTTTTGAACACTGTGTGTTTTATGTGGTGGTGCATGGTGGGTGGCTGGAATTGCAATACGTTTGGGACGGTGTATCGTGCGGTGGGGGGTTGGGTTTGCTACTGTGGGGGTGGGTGAAAGTGCATTCTACATTGCACTCCGAGACTAAATGCAGATGTTTTCAATGAACTATATTGAGGGTGGGTGGAAGTGCATACTGGTCATGCACCTAACCAATATTAACAATGGCATTAAATACCCTCCATATGCAATACTACCAACATGCATATGAGAAAGATTTGTAGTTATATGACTTGTATCTTAGATACTGGCGCAATGCATTCTGCATTTTTAGGTTGCTCGAATTCAAATGCACCCCCTGCCCTTGATTCATCCAAGCCATTCATTTAGTGGGTTGGGTGTAGTTTAATCAAAGGTAACAATTTTTAATTATAGAAAGATTGGAGAATAATAGAATAGGAGCATCACTGTCTCACAACCTCCCAAGAGATCCAGTCCTTTTATTTTATATAATTTATTTTGGTATTTTAACTAAAATTTTTTTTAAGACCCACTAAATCAATGATTGCATTGTCATCCAAACCAGGCATATCCAAATATTTAATAACTAGAGACTTACAACACATCTGCATCTTCAGATTATTTGTCACTTTATTGTTATAATGTTCAAATAGTTAAATGTTGGGTTAAATTTTTTACATTTAGTTTCTAAGTTATATTTTAAAAAATGTAAACATGTTTCATTTAGCTTCTGTGTTGCACTAGTATATTCTATAGTTACAATTAATTTGGGATTGAATTGTAGTTCGTTGTTCACGTTTGTTGGTAATATACGCAATCCATTTAACCATTTCACAGTTTACTATATGCAGTGTTGCCATATTTCACGGTGTACTATATGTAGTAAACCGTAGTGTTGTGATTTTAAAGTTTTTCCATTTTGTATAGCAATTAATTGGGGGACTAAATCTTCTGTTTTAATTTCGTTTCTTCTGAATTTTTAAAGACAGATTGTCAAGTAGTAATGTAGTGAAAGTTAAATTTACAATAATTCTATGTTGTGCTCTGTGATTGTGTTATCTATGGGGTGGTATTATCCGTTGGTTGTCACGTTGTGCCCTCTAACACCGAATGCATTACAGTTGTGCATTCTAAATGGAATGCATTCTGTTTGTGGTATCAAATTTTAAATGATCTGTGTGTGCACTCTTCTGAATGGTATAATCAATGCTATGGGTTGGTATTCACTGTTGGTTGTTCCGTTGTGCAGTGTTACTTCAAATGCGGTATAGATGAGCATATACAAAGGGAATGCATTCTGATTGTGCTACCCCGTTGTGCATTCTAGCTTTAAATGCATTGCAGTTGTGCATTTAGAAAACTAAAACACACTGATTATGCTATCTAATTTTAAATGCATAGTGTGTGCATTCACAAGTATGGTACATGTACTTTTGAGGGGTGGTAGTATCTATTGGCGAACCCGTTGAGCATACTTACTTCAAATGCATGACAAACTTCTCTCTATTTAGTATGAAATAATCCTATATTATGGTGTATCCTAGCGTTTTGGATTTGCAACAAACTGGAGTTTACCAGTTCTAAACCAATGCAAACTCTTTTCTTACAGATGGATTTGTTGGCATCTTTCGTAGACAGCTAGGAACAACCCTTTCTTGCAGTTCTGATAAGGAACATGAAGCTAAAGCAGATGTAGATGGTATGGCGCGAAACAACAAATCCGCAAGAGTCCGGTGTATATGCAAGCGGCACATGGAATCCTACCTTGGTGAAGACCCCAAGGAGTGGGATTGCGGTCTAACTAGAGGTGACAAAGAGTAGTTAGCAGACCTTCGCAAGCGCTTCACCTGAGCGGTGGAAAATAAGACCGGAGGCTGATAAGCAGCGCATGCCTCTTTGTTTTTGGAACAAAAATCATTGTGTAACTACGTAGTTTGGGGGGTGGGGGGGCAAAAATCATTGTGTAACTACGTAGTTTGGGGGGTGGGGGGGGCACTAGCATTTGTTTTCTCTTTAAATGTGTTGTGTTCTATAGATATATATGTATTATTTTCTAGACACAAATTGGTATTAGTTGTACTGTTTCTCATATTTTCATATGTTTGTCATTAAATCTTCAAAGCTCGTAGTTTTGTTAAATTCCTTTCGTTGGCTTGTTGGTTGTTTTGTTATACAGTTAGCTTGCTATGAATTCTTATGTGTACTCGTAAAGCATTCATTACCTGGTGTATTACGGAGATCGATTTACATTAATATTGTTGGTTTTAATGTTAAGACAGTTGGTGTAGTGCCTTTGTGCTTCAATTTGTTCCTCATTGTTTACTTACCAGTAGTGTTATGAGTTGCTCTACTATCATTAAAATGATTTATTGTGATGATACCATTGTGATGATACCATCATAATACCAAATCATAAGTAAGCGATCAATTTAATTTACCCATAATGAATACCTATAATTAAGTCCCAAACAAAAAATCTAAGACTTAGCTTGTATATTTTTGATTCATGTAAAATGCACACTACTAATCATGTAAAATGCACACCACTAATCCAACAATACCCGACAGAATGCACAGCTAACCACTACTGTATAAAAAAGAGAATTCTAGTGCACTCCTCACTAACTGAAACATTATCTTTTCACTGGTATTCTGTGACAAAACTCGCTAATGTACTATAGTAAAAAAGAAACAAACAGAAACAGACGATTTAAATGTCAAATTTACATTGGACTTCCAGTATTGTATAGGCATGGTAGGTAATTCCGTCGTGCAATGCATTACATCCCCGGTGCCCAAATCCACGTCATTAAACCCTGTAGTAGTTACATGAAAACGGTGTTAGTCAACACGTATAGAGCGGGGGGGGGGGGGGGGGGGGGGGGGGGGTTATAAACATGAAATGGGAGCAATTAAAAACCTGAGACCAAAACCTATCAACGAAGACCAAGCATTCAAAGTCTTACAAAACATTCTAAAATCAGATAATGCCACTGAATGTTAGTAATTATTTTCTCCAATTTTTTTGAATCTGTAACTGCATAATTTGTCTTTTGATTAGAACATTTATATACAATAGGGAAATTTGTATTTTCTTAACTTTCTAATACCGTTGGTAAATGGTCACAGGCCCCAGTAGCTATTCCATTATTTTAATATCGAAAATACTCCATGGTCACAGGCCCCAGTAGCTATTCCATTATTTTAATATCGAAAATACTCCAGGGAGGTCCACCATATGTATCAACTGTCAAAATCTGTGCAAAACCCGTCTTAGATCACAAGGTGGGGGTCACCCAATGCAGATCCTCGAATAATATAATGGATGGAGATTTCCATCATCGCTCAACTAAGTCGTAATCACATTATTAGTAATTAATTGTATGATGATTGTTAACTAGTAAATGCAGATTGCCATCCTTACTTATTAAATTATAGCTTAGCTTAATTATATTAAGGCATCCCCA